GATCAAGCTCGTGAGTGTTCTCTCTCTCTCTCTCTCTCTCTCTCTCTCTCTCTCTCTCTCTCTCTCTCTCTCTCTCTCTCTCTCTCTCTCTCTCGTGTCGAAAAGAATTGATTGGTGGTTGTGCGAGTGTTTTCCCTTGATGACGTCCCGAGATTTTCGCCATTGATTGGCATGTGGACTGACAAACGCCCTTCAATCGGGCGTCAGCCTCCCATATCTCCCGTCTCAACGCGACCTTTTCCTTACAACGAGGAAAGGGCGCGTGTATGTGAATGGGACGTACGAGAAGTTGTCGCACGGATCGGCAGACGATATCACTTCCCTCCGGAAAATCGTTGTTTAGGGTTCGTAGAGGCTGGGTTTGTCATTATCGATACACACTTTCCACCTTACTCGATATTGTTGCCATTTAACGAGTTGATCGTCATCCCGTGGACGGCAGTTGAACCCCACTGGCCTCACACTCTATGCACCGAATGCCAGCGCTTTGAGCGCTACGAATCCGAGGGTTTCCACTACCGCGTACGGAGTGAAGACGAACACAGAGAAAGAGCCACACGACTGAGACCCTCCACGTGGGACTCAGAACTGACCGGTGAACGACGCTAGGACTTAATACGAAGACGAGACACGCGAAGCGTGCCGAAGCCTTTTCGCTCTAAACGAAGGGCCGTAGCACAGTGGGAAGTCCGATAATACTTTTTGGATTGAATTTGTATTTCTCCCTCCTTTTCGCGCCGAACTTCCGCGCGCGTCTTGCAACGCGCGCATATCAGTCGACTTACTTCATCGGACCAATACGGGGGATTTCAGTTTCGTCTGTGTCCCCACACTCAATTTCCAAAAATCCTTGGCACACCCCATCTTGCTGTTTTTTCGGGCCCCTTTTCCGCACCTCTAGCACTCCGAACGAAAGACAGCACAGGGCGTGAGGTTGCGCGTTACAAGAATCCTCTAGAAAGGCCCCATCCTTCAAGAATCGGACAGGGTGACATTTCAGGAAAGACCAAGTGAGGTGCGCAACAAAAACTACTGCGATCCCAACAAATCAGTAATAGTGAATCTCTTGAAGTTCCAAGTAAGTCGGAACAACGTCGTTCAAATAACCTCTCTAGAAGAAACATTAATTTGCCGAAAAGAGGAACTATTCAGAATCAGGGTGCTCCATGAAAAAAAGCAATGGATTGCTTACCTCCCTTGTGTCCTGGTCCACCAACTGGCCGTGGAATGGACATGGACAACACCAGCGGGGAAGGGCAGGAAATTCACTAAATCATTATACGGCCTAACGGTCAAATCGACCTATAAACTCCTCGGACTGAGAATAAACCTTCAAGATAAGGTGGAGGTGCGCTGGATGAACCACCTGAACATTCGCAAATACAAGGTAAGCGAAATAAGGTGGTTCAGAATGGCCAAGGAAAAACCAGCAAAACTTGCCTCACTGCAATGGCAGATAAAGCACTGCTGCCTACCGACAAACGATTCGCTGACAGATAAAACGATCCTAGAACAGAGAGGGCAAGCCCTGCCCTGGTGTAGGCTGGGCACAAATGTGTTCCCATCCAGGAAAGGGCCAGAAGCAATCGAGCATATATTCTTTCAGTGCCTACGAGCGCTTTGGCTGTGGAGATGGTGTGATAGAATTTGGGAACAACCAAAAACTCAGACCCCGTGGCCGTGGGACTTGAAGGCCTTGCTGTGTGAAGCCTAGCCCAAAGACCAGCTGGATGAGTTCACCCAGACCCCGTGGGTCGTGGCCGTGGGACTGGATGGCCTTGCTGTTTCCGGAAGCCCAATCAAAAACATAGCGACAGACTTTAGGTTCCGGAAGGAGCCTAGCATAACAGACCCCCTTCAATATCTTACGAGTATGACTTGGGATATCCAGCTCTGAAGGTCGGCCTTCCACCCTTGCTATGGGCATATCCAAGATCCCGTTCGAGGATGAGCAGGACAACACCATCGGGATTCACAAGTCCCAGAGTCTGACGTGGACAGATCCCTGTCGAGCTATGAATCCCCCTCGGCGGCGGCCATCCGCGGCCGAATCCGCGGACGCGGCCAGTCCGCGGACCCCGAGGACGCGCGGCTTTGGAGCCACGTGGCGGCCGCGAGGGAGACACTTTCGGAAATCTAGAGACGCCACGTGGCGTCGCATCCCCGGCCCCACCCCAC